AGGAATATACAAATTATAAATATATGCGCACCAAACAGTTAAGCACCCAGATAGATAAAGCAAATATTATTAGATCTAGAGAAATAGACCCTATTACAATAATAGTGGGGGACATCAACACCCCACTGTCAGCATTGGACATATCATCTAAACAGAAAATCAACAAACATCAGATTGAAACCACACCATAGACCAAACGGACCTAACAGACATTTCCAGAACATTTCACCCAACAGCTGCAGAGTACACATTCTTTTCATCAGTACATGGAACACTCTCCAGGACTGACCATATGGTAATATGCAAAACAAGTCTCAAAAATTTTTACAAAATCAAACACATCAAGTATTTTATCTAACTGATGAAATAAAATGACATCAATAACAAGAGGAACATTAAAAAATATAGAGATACATGCAAACTAAACAACATGCTCCTGAATAACCCATGGGTGAGGGAAGAAATTTAGTATAAAATTTAAAAATTCCTTGAAACAAATAAAAATAGAAACACAACATACCAAAATCTATGAAAGGTAGCAAAAGCAGTATTAAGATATAAGTTCATAGCAATAAATGCCGACATCAAAAAACTAGAAAGATTTCAAATAAGCAAACTAAAACCTCTAAGGAACTAGAAAAACAAGAATAAGTCAAACCCAAAATTAGTAGAAAAAAGGAAATAAGGATCAGAACATTAGTAAACAAAATTAAGACAATAAAAGGACAATAAAACAAAAATTGTTTTTTTAAAGATTAAAAAATAGACAAACCGTTAGCTAGACTAACAAAGAAAAAAGAAAGAAGATCTAAACAAATAAAATTAGAAACAGAGAGACATCACAATGGATACCAGAGAAATACAAAGAACCACTAGAGACTAATATAAACAAATATACACCAATAAATTTGGAAGCCTAGAAGAAATGGATAAATCCCTGGAGACATACACCCTACCAACACTGAACCAAGGAGAAATAGAAAACCTGAATAGACCAATAACAAGTAACAAGATTGAACCAGTAATAAAAATCTTCCAGTAGGGAAAAGTTCAAGACTGGATAAATTCTACTGAACCTTTAAAGAATAATTAACACTAATTTTTCTCAAATGATTTCAAAATATTGAAGCAGAGGGAATTCTTCCTCTCTCATTCTGTGAGACCAGCATCATTCTGATGCCCAAACCAGACAAGGACATATACAAAAAAAGAGAAAACCACAACATCCCTGCTAAACATAGACACAAAAATTCTCAACAAAATACTATCAAACTAAATCTAACAACACATCAAAAATAGAATTCACCACAATTAACTGGGACTTATCCCAGGAATGCAAGCATTATTCAATATATCCGAATCAGTAAATGGCACACATCACATCAATAAAATGAAGGACGAAAGCAATATGATTATCTCAATAGATGCAGGAAAAACTTTTGATAAAATTCAACCTTCCATCATGATAAAAACTCATTTTTCTTTTTACCTCTTTTTCTTTTATTTTTAGACAAGAAACTGTGGAATCTTTTTCCTTTTTAGAGACAGGGTCTCACTTTGTCACCTAGGCTTGAGTGCAGTGGCATAATTATGGCTCACTGCAGTCTCAACCTCCTGGGCTCAAGCACTCCTCCTGCCTCAGCCTTCTGAGAAGCTGAGACTACAGGTGCATGCTACTGTGCCTGGCTAACTTTTTTTAAACAGTGACAAGGTAAAAACTCTTAATAAATTAGGTATAGAAAAAAATACCTGAACATAATAAAGGCTATATATGAAAAACTCACAGTTAACATCTTACTGAATGAGAAAAAGCTTTCAGAATTAGAACGGAAAAAGAATGACCGTTCTCATCACTGTTAGTCAACACAGTACTAGAAGTCCGAGCCAGAGCAATTAGGCAAGAGAAAGAAATAAAGAGCATCCAAATTGGAAAGGAGGAAGTAAAATTGCCTCTTTTTACAGATGACATGATTATATAAACCTGAAGACTCTTAAAAAAAACTCAGAACTGGTAAGTGAATTTAGTAAAGTTGGATACAAAATTAATATACAAACATCACTAGCATTTTTATACATGAACAATGAGCTAGCTGAAAAAGAAATCAAGAAGGCAATCTCATTTACAATAGCTACAAAATTAAATACCTACAAATAAAGTTAACCAAGGAATTGAAAGATCTCTACAAGGAAAACTATAAAACATGGATGAAAGAAATTTAAGAAGATATAACCAAATAAAAAGACATCTCATGCTCATGGATTGGAGGAATTAATATTGTTAAAATGGTGATACTACCAAACAGCAGATTCAACACCATTACTATCAAAATACCAAGGGCATTCTTCACAGAAATAGAATTAAAAAAAAAATTTTTTGCATGAAAACACAGAGGACCGTGAAAGGATAGCCAAAACAAACCTGGGCTAAAAGAATAAAGCCAGAGGTATCACACTACCAGACCTCAAACCTTACTTAGGTCAGCTGCTGTGGCTCATGCCTGTAATTCCAGTACCCTGGGAGGCCAAAGCAGGAGAATAATTTGATTCCAGGAGTTTGAGACCATCCTGGGCAACATAATGTGACCCTGTCTCTATTACAAAAAAAATTTTTTAATTATTTTTTAAAAACAAAATGAAATGTACTACAAAGATGTAGTAACTAAAATAGCATAGTACTGGCACAGAAACAAATACACATAGACCACGGAATAAAGAGAATCCAGAAATTAATTCACGTATATCAAGCAATTGATCTTTGACAAAGGTGCCAGGAACAATCATTGCAGACGGGAGAGTCTCTTCAATAAGTGGTGCTGGGAAAACTGGATATCCACATGCAGAAGGATAAAACTACTATCCCCACCTCTCACCCTATACAAAAATTAACTCAAAATAGATCAAAGACCTAAATGTAAGACCTGACACAATAAAACTACTAGAAGGAAACACAGAGGAAGTGCTTCAGGATATTGGTCTGGGAAAAGACTTTATGAATAAGACCTCAAAAGCACAAGCAACACAAACAAAAATAAATGGAATTATACTAAATAAAAAAGCTTCTACACAGCAAAGGAAACAATCCACAGAGTGAAAAGACAACCTATAGAATGTGAGAAAATATGTTCAAACTACTTATCCAACAGGGGATTAACATGCAGAATATGCAAGGAACTCAAACATCTGAACAGCAAAAAAACACAAACCATCTAACTGAAAAATGGTCGAAAGATTTGAATCGACATTTCTCAAAAGGAGACACACGATTGCCAACAAATACATCGAAAATGCTCAACATCACTCATCACATTCAGGTTGTTTTTTTGTTTTTGTCTTTTACCAACATTGCTACAATGAACATTTTGGTTCATTTATTTATTCAACAACTATTTACTGAGCACCTGCTGTGTGCCAGGCACACTTTTAGAGCCCTAGAACACAGTATGGTGTATATTGACATATGTTATTTTGCGAGGATACCAATAAACAGGAGAAGAATTTGCTGTATTTGAGGAAATGTGCATTTTTGGTTTTGATAAATATTTCCAAAATGCTTGCTGAAAGGGCTGCAGAAATCTATATTTTCTTCAAGAGTATAAATTTGAGCAAATGGTTAATTTTCCCATACTTGCAAACACTAGGTAGCATGAAACTTTAAAACTTTTGCCAATCTGATAAGCAAAAAAAAAAAAAAAAAAAAATGGCTCGTTGTTACTACTTTTCCTTGAATAATGATGAGTGAAATTGAACATCTTTTTTGCCTATTGGCCACTTGTGTTTTTTTCCCGGTGAACTGCATGTTCCTGACAGCTGGGCTGTTTTCTATTGAACTGTTGTCTTCCTACAGATTTGTACTCGTTCCCCATAAATTAGGGAAACCAGTCAGCCCATTGTCATATGTATTGCAAAGTTCTTTTCCAGGTAATCTTTTGTCTTTTGACTCTGTGGTAATTCTTGCAAAGCTCCTTGGTGGAGATAACGTTCGAGTTGAGTCTTGAGAGACGAGTGATGATTCTAATTATTAACACTTGTCTAGTGATTCTAAGGGCTGAGTGTGCTTCTAAGTGCTTTAATATGTGGTAACTCATTTAACATTTACAACAACCCTAGGAGGTGAAACTGTTGTCAGCCCACTTTAAGAGGAGGAAACAGAGGCATAGAGGCAGGTAAATAACTTGTCAGGAACTCATAGCCAGTGAGGGGCACAGACAAAAATCAAAACCCTGAAGAGCTACTAGCAAAGGCATGGAGGTGCAAAACAATACAAAATATCAGCGGAATTACAAGGAATTCCATGTATTTGGCATAAAGATAGGCTGCTTCATAGGGAGGGAAGGCAGACAGAGTTTTGAGGCATTGGGCAGGTTGTGTCTTGGTAAGAAAGGGGTGCATTCGTCTTGCCTGCTGATCTGGGGCATTCCTTGAGCTCAGGGTCCACATCCGGACCCCATATTACCTAGTAAAACATATCCAGGCTGATGGGAGAAAATTTAAATATCTGTTTTTATGTGTGATACAAGGCGTGTTACAGGGCTTAGCTCATGACTCAATAATCCTTTCTGCGTTCCCTGACTTGATTCATGGATCCCCAGTCTTGGACTGTTCAGGCCTTTTATGCACAGCTCATGCTCTGTTCTGGGCAAAATGGAGTCTCTGCTTTATGTATCACTGACAGCAAATGTTTCTTTCAGCTTCAGTCTTCAGTCCCACCATCACAAAGCACATGGCGGGCTGTCTTCCTTGCTCTCAGTGCGATCTCTGAGAGGATAACATAACCCCAAGTAAACAGTTTTGAAGGTAACTCTGCCACCCTAGGTCATGTGATGCCTCCAAAGACAGATATAAATAATTTTGGATTATCTGTTCCCCTACAGTTAACATGTTGGTGTCCTTCCTACACGAAGGTGATACTAAGCCCTGTGTGATGGGCCAAGGATTCTGGAATTATCAAATGTGCATTCTGTTTCTTTCTTTCTGTCTTCGTTTACAATGTTGAAACGGGAATCACTCAGACTGCATCTTCTCTCCCTTCTACTCTGAGACCAGAGAAGAACGATCATCAGTGGCAAATGTAGTTGTAGCGAAGTAACACCAAGAGCTGGCTTCACGTGCCACAGAGAACGCTGCACCTTCTCCTCGTGCTTTCTGTGGCTCCTCACGCTGAGAAACTTCTCTAGCTGTAAACCATATAAACGATCCCTGAAAGTATGGTCTTTCCATTTCTTCCTAATGGAATCGTGCTCTGCTCACCTCCAACTTGACAGTGCTTGGCAGCTTTGCCATGGGCTTCTCATTGCTGAGGCAAGAGCTATAGGACTATTGGCCTCAGAAGCAGTGTGGTGAGGGAGAAAGATTCTAAAATAAGGAGCCTAATGTTGCATCGTCGCCTAGTGGCAGGGATGGCAGAATCCTATCACTCCCCCCACCCCCCATGCCCGTGGCAGACATTGCTAATCAATCACATGCTCTTGCCTACTATAATTTTGGATTATCTGTTCCCCTACAGTTAACATGTTGGTGTCCTCCTCAAGTTATTTGAGGAGTCTGAGGCTTCTCAGACTCCTCAAAATGGCAGGCCTGAGTCACATCCCAGTTAATTGCACTTGGCTCTTGAAACGAAATGCATTTGTTATCCCCAACCTAATGATTAAAAAGCCGCAGTTTTGGAGTCACACAAATCTGAGTTTAAATTTTGGCTGTGTAACCTGAGCAAAGCTTCTGCTCCGACCACGATCACACCCCTCAGAGAGTGTGTGGGAAGGGCAAGTGGGGCAGCGTGTCTGCAAAACCCAGTTCCAGTGTCACGTCTGAGGAGTTATTCAGAATCTCTAGACTGGTCCCAGTTTCCTTCCAGGAAAAATTAGGGCTGTGAAAGTTGTCAAAATCAAAACGGCACCGCTAATGTTAAGAAAAGAAAGAACCCTGACAAACGGAGCTGGGAAAGGCCAGGAAGAGAGAGTTCTCATACCTGTATGCTTGATAACAAAAACGATCACACAAGACTCTGTGAAAACCACAACTTTGCACAAAGGCCACTGCAACCTTACATAAAAAAGATTTCTGCAAAGACATCTGCCCAGCCAATGCCCGACCAAGCCCAGGCTGGCATCACCCCTGTTATTGCTCTTTGGAGCCAAGGATAATTATTTCAAAAGCATTATGTAATCTTTCTCTTTTTTTCTTTAAAAATCTATTTTCCTTTACCTCCCTGAGCATGTATGTAGCTTGCTATGATATACATATTCCCTGTACATTGATCTATTCCCAGATATTCATGATACAATAACTATCCCAAACCTAATGATGAAATGATTTCTTTTAAACAGACTCTCCTTGTTTGTTATTTATGTTAACAGAGAGAAAGATTAGACTGTCTCCGAAATCAGTGTCTTCCAGCTCATTTCACAGGACTGGGCTGCTTCCCTCTCACGCATTCATTCGGTGACGTTGCCCGAGTGCCACTTCGGCTTGGACAGGCACTGCTCTTGGCTCTGGGGCAGGGGCCCCACCTTCTAGGAGCTTCTATGCTAGTGGAAAGATAGACAATAAACAAATTGTCAAATCTGTTTTATGGCACATGACAAGTCACGCAACATCAGCAGATGGAAGTGCCACGGAGAAAAGTGAAAGTGGGTGGCCGAAGCGGGGAGCCTGGGCAGACTCCAGAGCTGCTGATTCTGCAGTGGGAAGGAACTCGGCGCCATGCAGACAGCCTTCAGGCTGGAGGCTAGCTCCTTGTTTCAGCAAAACCCTTGGGGATTATGAGAAGATTGCACTGACTGCCACCCCTGCCCCCACCCTCTCCTGAAAGAAACTTGGGTGGCTGCAGCCACACCGCAGACATATGTGCAGCATTCCGCCCTGGCTGGGCCGAGGGGCCTCACAGTTTGTTTCCTGTTCTTTGAGATGGGATGAGGAGTGGTCTACCTGGTCGCCACCTATGTAGCCAGGGGCTTCCACTCACTGTTGCTCAGTGGCTTCGGGGCTGGGAAGGAGCTGAGTTCTCCGAGCCCACTCCATTGTCCCTTTTATCCTGGAATCTACAGAATGGGACTGCGGTTGGTGGCATCTTCACCTGGGACTGGCTAGGGAAAGTCACGAGGGCCAGGTGTGATGAACAGGCAGACGCTGGAGGCCCAGGCAGTAGGTGGCAAGAGTGGCAAATGGAAATGCCCAAGAGGAGAAGTGAGCGGTGGGAGTGGTTGAAGAGCTGGGCGTGGGTGCGTACCTTCATTGTGCAGGGAGGCAGGAGTGTGACGGAGCTGACTGTTGGCACACAAGGTGCTCGGCATTCGAAGACAGCAGAGAAGTCCATAGGCGTTCACATGAAGCATCAGAACAAGGACAGACTGGCATGGACTCCAAGAACACTGGCCTGGGTGTCAGCACACCCCAAGTTGACATCCAGGCCATCTACAATTGTAAGAAATTTCTCATCAGTGTAAGTTACTATTCAGGCAGGGCCTGCCTGGCGATGACCCGAATGAAGACGCTCAGACCATCATCTTCCTCCAGGATGAGCACCACACAAGCACACCATGAGGCACCTTAGGGACATGGCCGGCATCCGCACCATTACACAGATGTCCAGATTGGAGACGTAATGGCAGGGGTAAGCACTAGCTCCTGGGCAAGAAAGACCATCTGTTGCTTCTACATGCTGAGGGGTCAAGGCTGCTGGTACCAAGAAGCACTTCCAGAAATTCAAGCCCGAGAGAACTTCATTCCCTTAATAATGTTTTCCCCCTACGTGGCTCAATTGATAAATTTATAGAACATATCTGTAGACTGGGACCAACTGCTACTGAGCTAATATTTCTGCAGGAATCAAATCTGAAAGTGAGGCAGTGCTGGGCTTTAGACCGTAGCCTGGGCTAGCTCCGAGCAGAATTGGAAAGCAAGGTGTGGTGGGTTGAATACGTCCCCCTAGAATTCATTACCACCCAAAACCTCGAATGTGACCTTATTTGTAAATAGGATATTTGCAGATGTCATCAGTTAAGACGAGATTATGCTAGATTAGAGAGGGGCCTAAATCCAATGGTGCCCTTACAAGAAAAGGAGAGGACACATAGGGACACACACCGGGAATAAGGCCGCGTGACGGCAAAGCGGAGACTGGAGCCACACAGCTGCAAGCCCAGAAATACCAAGGATGGCTGGAGCCACCAGAAGCCGGTGAGAGGCAAGGAGGATGCTTCCCTGAAGGCTTCAGAGGGAGCGAAGTCCTTCACAGAAACTGTATCCTCTCACAGTTCCTGGCCTCTGGAACCACGAGGGCACACACTGCTATTGTTTCCAGCCTCCCAGTTTGTGATAATTCATTACTGAATCTCTAGGAACCTAATACACACACGCAAATGTTTTTAAAAAATCTGCCTCTTCAGTTGGGCACTGTGGCTCAGGTCTGCAATCCCAGCACACTGGGAGGCCAAGATGAGTAGATCACTTGAGGTCAGAAGTTCGAGACCAGCCTGGCCAACATGATAAGATAATTAAGGCACCAGTGATTTAAATAACTTGCCCAGAGTCTTCTCTACTAAAAATAATTTTTAACAAATTAGCCAGATGTAGTAGCGTGTGCCTGTAATCCCAGCTACTCGGGAGGCTGAGGCAGGAGAATTCCTTAACCGGGAGGCTGCAATGAGCCAAGATTGTGTCACTGCACTCCAGCTTGGGCAACAGAGCAAGACTCTGTCTCAAAAAAAATCTGCCTCTGCTTTATGGAAAAGAAAGAAGGAAAAAAAGGAAGAAAAGAAAAAGGGAGAAAGAAAGGAAGAAAGAAGGAAAGAAAGAGAAAGACAAGAAAAAAATCAACCTATTTATAGTTATTTCTGTTGTTTCTTTTTTTTTCTATATTCCGCTTCCTGGGTAGCTTTGTCATGTGGAGGGTAAGAGCCACACGGCCTGGATTTGACACCTACCTCTGCAACTCACCAGCTCTGCGGACTAGCCAAATCTCTCTGAGCCTTTGTGTCCTTGACTCTATGGGGACTAGCGAAGAGTAAATAAGGACGCATGGGAAAGCTCAGGGATAGGCCTGAGCTGGTGTGGCCTATCCCTGCACGTGCTGGCTGCCTTTCCTCCATGGTGCCCTGGACCCCCTCTTGCAGCCCAAGCACCGTGTCAATCACTAGGCAATTCCTGAGTGCTCTCTTGTTCAGACAGTATCCTCTGTGTCAGCAAGATGTTTTTGTCCCATTAACTACCCACCCATATCTAGTACCTTAATGTGATGCTCCAAGCTAGCAACATTTTTGTCTAGCAAGAATTAAGAGCCTGCAAGAGGAGACAAGATGGAGGGTGGGATGATCCAGCTACAGAGTCGGGCTGTGCTGCTGTGTTGCACAATTCAACGGGGTCACGATTTATCATGCACTCATACAGACGGTTTCCCCTAGAGCTGGATATTACGGTGACCCTGAAGCGGCCATAAAAATATGGAGGTGTGAGGAGATGGGAGAGAAAAGGAGTCTCCTCCTCCTCTTTCTCTCCTTCTCTTCCTCCTCCTCGTCCTTCTTCCTCTTTCTCTCCTCTTCCTCCTCCTCCTCCTTCTTCCTCTTCCTCTTTCTCTTCCTCCTCGTCCTCCTCCTTTTCCTTCCTCTCCTTCTCCTTCTTCAGAGACAGACTCTCTCTGTGTCTCCGAGCCTGGAGTGCGGTGGCATGATCTTGGCTCACTGCAGCCTTGACCTCTTGGAGTCAAGCGATTCTCCAACCTCAGCCTCCCAAGTAGCTAGGACCACAGGTGCAGGCTACCACAGCTGGCTAATTTTCGTATTTTCTGTAGGGATGGAGTTTCATCATGTCGCCCAGGCTGGTCTCAAACTCTTAGGCTTAAGTGATCCACCTGTCACAGCCTCCCAAAGTACTGGGATTCCATGCGTGAACCACCGTGCCTGGCCCTTTTTCTTTTTTGGGTAATATAATTACACATATTGTTATGGCTGGAGAAAGGTATGTATATTGGGGATTAGGGAATTGGGAGAGGGGAAATGCTCAGACACTGAATCCATTTATATGAAAAAACTTTTCAAGGGAAGAGGTGGGAAAGTATCTACTCAATGCTAATACGAGACAGAAAGAGAAAGAGAGAGAGAGAGAGAGAGAGAGAGAAAGTAAGTTATGTTTCCCTCTTACGAAATCTCAGTGCAATCACCCCAGGGCCGGGTGAAAACAGGACCAGGCCAACAAGGGCAGATTACACAGGGCTTCCTT